AACAGCTGTGGAGGAGGAGGTGCGGCTTGGGGGGTGACAGGAGCTGAACCTCCGGTCGTCGAGGGGGCGGCGTTGCCGTTGTCCGGTGGTGCAAGTTGTCCGCGAAGTGGCTGGTGCCGCTGAGTGGAAGAGAGGAGCAAGAAGCTAGGGACGCACGCTTCGAAGGTATAACCATGCCGTCACAATTTTTCTCTGAATTGTATAGTTTAGTTAGTGTAGATAAGTCATATTGCGAATTGTAATGTGAATATGTTTGTGGAGGCATTTTAGTGCATACTTAGTATAGCGGGTAATAATAGTGTTCATTGTGATTAATGAGAAGATAACAATGTCTGACAGGTGAAAATGTCTGAATCAGTAATTTTGACTGTTTACTACGGCGCTGGTAATGTTCGATATAATGAGTTGGGGGTTGATCTAGCAAGTTTAAAAATGGCGTCACGACACTAGCAGACCCGGACAGACTGGACATTAGACAGTTGAAGTACTGGTTGACAACTAGTTTCAGGCTAGATCCTGAAGTATGTTCCGTTAGTATTCATGCATTGTGGACCAAATCCTGTAAAAATGTGAAGTGGGAGTTGATGCCGATAGATAGGAGCCAGCATTGGTTGACCCTGTTAAGACGTTGCCAAGACCGGAGAATCCACCCATATGCCCTTATGCAACCTGTGGCAAAGGAGGACAATATCGTACAACTCCACAGGGCATATGAACCCGGTCAGGGCAGTCAAGTGGCTAACGAGACTGATTTATCCGGGTCACAGCCACCCGATGTGGATGCTAGCCTACCCGAGAAAGAGTCGGACTACGTGCCACACAATGTTTGTGGTCATGATACTGGGCAGAGTAGCCAGTCGATAATATTAGTTGGTTCTGGTTTTGCTAATGGGGATGAGGAAGGGGATGAAATGCCGAGGGTGATGGAGGAAGAGGACGTGGATGGGTTGGCGGAGGATCTGGATTCTAAAAATTCCGAGGATGAAATGGAGGTACCAATTCCTTCTGCATGGGATCAGGACATATCCACCGGCCTTACGGTCAATGATGGCTATGAGACTCCATGGAAGTATAATCTGAACCAAGTCCAGATAGGGGCTATGTTTGATACAAAGAAAAAAAATTGAAGTATGCGGTTATAAAGTGGGCTATGTCTACACAGAGGGTTTTTCGGACACACATATCAAGTCCAACAAATTATACCGTGAAAAGTACTGAAACAGGTTGTCCTGGGAAGGTGCACGGGCAAGTGCCAAAGTATGACATCCACTGGGTTGTCACCAATGTCGTCCCACATAATTGTGTGAGGAAAAACCTGCTAGTGAATCATCCTAACCTGACTTCAACTCTCATTGCACAACTCATGTATAATGAGATAGTAGAGAAGAAAGATATGGAAGCAAAACACATCCAGACAGCAGCGAAGGTCAGATGGAATTATGTCATTCCTTATGGGAAGGCTTGGAGGGCTAAGCAGAAGGCTATGGAGGAAAGGTTTGGGACGTTCTTCGAGTCATATGATAATGTTGTCCGTCTCCTTGACATACTAAAGGAGAGGAATCCCGACACGTATGTGAACGTACAACACACGAGGTTGTCGAGTATACCAGATTTCAAGGTGTTGAAATGAGTATTCTTCTCTTTCCCTATGTGCATCGAAGCTTTCTGGCATTGTCCTCCTATTATGTTTGTGGATGGTACATTCCTGACCGGTCAGTACAGAGGGCAAATCTTGACTGCTATTGGTGTGGACGGGAACAATCAAATCATCCCACTTGCCATGGCATTTGTGGAGGGTGAGAACTTTCTAAGCTGGGTATGGTTCTTCCAGCAAGTGAAAATCGCCATCGTGCAGGACCGACCAAACGTGTGTCATTCATGACAGACATGCTGGTATATTGAAGGCCGTCAAGACAGTAAGTAATCTAACAGCTGACGAACCAACACCTTGGAGGGACTTGCAGAGCCGGTGGTGCATGCGCCATCTTGGGGCTAATTTTTTTCTCACAGTTTAAGAACAAGCGGTTGATGAACTTGTTCAAAAAAATTATGCAAGCAGAACCAGCGGCGCAAATACGGATTTATTTGGTCAAAATTAGACGAGTTTACTAAGAAGCAGGTTCGTGCAAGGAAGAAAATGGAACAAGATCAGGTTAAATTAGCAGCACTAATCATGGAGCTAGAGGAGCCAGTAGGTCTCTGTGACTTGCCAACAATTGACCCTCCTAATACTAAGAGAAAGAAGGGGAGGGCAATAAAGAATTTTTCTGAGTGGATAGAGAAAGAGCCATCTGTGAATTGGTCTTTGCTGCATGACATCCATGGAGCTAGGTATGGCCACATGACTGTTGGGGAACGTAGTAATTTCAAAATTTTCCTACGCACACACAAGATCATGGTGATGATATAGCAACGAGGGGAGAGTGTTGTCTACGTACCCTCGTAGACCGAAGCGGAAGCGTTGACGCAACGTAGAGGAAGTAGTCGTACGTCCACCCGGTTCAACCGATCCAAGCACCGTTACTCCGGCACCTCCGAGTTCTTGACACGCGTACAGCTCGATGACGCACCCTCGATCTCCGATCCAGCAGAGGCGCCGAGGGGGAGTTCCGTCAGCACGACGGCGTGGTGACGATCTTGATGTTCTCCTGTCGCAGGGCTTCGCCTAAGCACCGCTACAATATGACCGAGGTGTAATATCGTGGAGGGGGGCACCGCACACGGCTAAGGAACGATCAATGATCAACTTGTGTGTCCTAGGGTGCCCCCCTACCCTCGTATATAAAGGAGGGAGGGAGGAGGTGGCCGGCCCTAGGGGGGCGCGCCATGAGGAGGGGGAAACCTACTCCATGTAGGTTTCCCTCTCTTTTCCTTATCTTATTTGGAGGGGGAAGGAAAGAGTACTAGTATTAGGAAGTAGTACTAGTAGTAGTAATAGGAAGAGGGGGAAGGAGAAAGGAAAGGGGGGGCCGCCCCCCCTCCCCAATTCGGATTGGGCTTGGGGGGGCGCGCCCCCCTCCCTTGCTCCTTCTCCCTTCCTCCTACATGGGCCCAATAAGGCCCATATACCTCCCGGGGGGTTCCGGTAACCTCCCGGAGCTCCAAACTTCTCCGGAACCTTTCCGGTGTCCAAATATATCCGTCCAATATATCAATCTTTATGTCTCGACTATTTCGAGACTCCTCGTCATGTCCGTGATCATATCCGGGACTCCGAACAAACTTCGGTACATCAAAATACATAAACTCATAATATAATTGTCAACGAAACCTTAAGCGTGCGGACCCTACGGTTCGAGAACGATGTAGACATGACTGAGACACATCTCTGGTCAATAACCAATAGCGGGACCTGGATGCCCATATTGGTTCCTACATATTCTACGAAGATCTTTATCGGTCAAACCGCATAACAACATACGTTGTTCCCTTTGTCATCGGTATGTTACTTGTCCGAGATTTGATCGTCGGTATCCAATACCTAGTTCAATCTCGTTACCGACAAGTCTCTTTACTCGTTCTGTAATACTTCATCTCATAACTAACTCATTAGTTATATGCTTGCAAGGCTTAGGTGATGAGCATTACCGAGAGGGCCCAGAGATACCTCTCCGACAATCGGAGTGACAAAACCTAATCTCGAATTATGCTAACTCAATATGTACCTTCGGAGACACCTGTAGTACTCCTTTATAATCACCCAGTTACGTTGTGACGTTTGGTAGTACCCAAAGTGTTCCTCCG